AATAGAAGGAAACTACCTCAACATAATAAAATCTATATGTGAAAAACCCACAGTGAACATCACACTCAATGGTAAAAGACTGAAAGTGTTTCCTCTAAGATCAGGAACAAGGCAAGGATGCCCACTTTTCCCACTTCTATTCAACATAGTACTGGAAGTCCTAGCCAGAGCAGTTAGACAAGAAAAAGAAACAAAAGTCATCCAAATTGGAAAGGAAGAAGCAAAATGTTCACAGATGAAATGATCTTTTATGTAGAAAACTCTAAAGATTTCACACAAAAAACCTGTTAGAACTAGTAAATTCAGCAAAGTAGCGGATACAAAGTCAACACAAAAAAATGAGTTGCATTTCTATGTGCTAACAATCCAAAAAGGAAATTAACAATTCCATTTACAATAGCATCAAAAAGAATAAAATACTTAGAAATTAACTTCACAAGGTGGTGAAAGACTTTTACAGTAAAAACTACAAAACATTTCTGAAAGAATTTAAAGAAGACATAAATAAATGGAAACACATCTCATGTTCATGGATTGGAAGAGTTAATATTGTTAAGATATTTACTCCCCAATAGTGATCTACATATTTAATCAATCCCTATCAAAATCCAAATGTTGTTTTTGCAGAAACAGAAAAACCCATCCTAAAATTCATATGGAATCTCAAGGGATCTTGAATAGCCAAAATAATCCTGAAAAAGAAAAAAGTTGGAAGACACACTTTTTAAAAAAAAATTTTTTTGTTTATTGCAATAACATTGGTTTATAACATTGTATAAATTTTAGGTGTACATCATTATACTTCTATTTCTGCATAGATTCCATCATGTTCACCACCCAAATACTAATTACAACCCATCACCACACACAGGTGCCGAATTATCCCTTTCACCCTCCTCCCTCCCCACTTCCCCTCTGGTAACCACCAATCCAATCTCTGTCTCTATGTGTTTTTGTTTGTTGTTGTTATTATCTACTACTTAATGAGGGAAATCATACGGTATTTGACCTTCTCCCCCTGACTTATTTCTGATTTCAACACTTACTACAGTCATCAAAACAGTGTGGTACTGGAATAAACACAGACCTATAGACCTATAGACCAATGGAATAGAATAGAGAGTCTAGAAATAAACCCTCACATATATGGTCAAATGATTTTCCACAAGGGTTCCAAGACCATTCAATGGGGGAAAGACAGTCCTTTCAACAATAGTGCTGTGAAAACTGGATATCCACAGGCAAAAGAATGAGATTGAATCTTTACCTTTTACCATACAAAATTGACTCAAAATAGATCAAAGACCTAAATATAAGAACTAAAACTATAAAACTCTTAGAAGAAAGCATAGGGCAAAAGCTTCATGACATTGGATTTGGCAATGATTTCTCAGATATGACACCAAAGGCATAGGCAACAAAAGAAAAAATAGACAGGGGCCGGCCCTGGGGCATAGCAGTTAAATGTGCAAGCTCCACTGCTGGCAGCCCGGGTTCGGATCCTGGGCATGCACCAATGCACCGCTTGTCAGGCCATGCTGTGGTGGCGTCCCATACAAAGTGGAGGAAGATGGGCACGGATGTTAGCCCAGGGCCAGTCTTCCTCAACAGAAAAAGAGGAGGATTGGCATGGATGTTAGCTCAGGGCTGATCTTCCTCACACACAAAAAAAGAAAAAGTAGACAAACTGGACTTAATGCAAAATAAAAATTTTGTGCTTCATAAGACACTATCAACATAGTAAGAAAGAACTCACAGAATAGGAGAAAATATTTACAAATCATATATCTGGTAAGGAATTAATATTCAGAATATATAGAGAAATCGTTAAAACTCAACAACAAGAAAGTGAACAGCCTGATTCAAAAATGGGCAACAGACTTGAATAGACATTTCTCCAAAGAAGATATAGAAATAGCCAATAAGCACATGAAAAGATGTTCAATATCACTAATTATTAGGGAAATGCAAATCAAAACTACAAAGAGATACCACCTCACACCCATTAGGATGGCTATTATACAAAAAAAAAAAAAAACCACATAAAATAAGTTTTAACAAGAATGTGGAGAAATCGGAACACTTGTGCACTGTTGGTGGGAATGTAAAATGGTACAGCTGCTTTGGAAAACAGTATGGTGGTTTCTCAAAAAATTTAAAAATATTACCATGTGATCCATCAGTTCCATTTCTGGGTATATACTCAAAATAATTGAAAGCAGGGTCTCGAAAAGATATTTGTACACCCATTTTCATAGCAGCATTATTCTCAATAACTAAAACATGGAAGTAACTCAAGTGTCCATCAACAGATGAATCAATAAACAAAATGTGGTTTATACATACAATAGAATATTATTCAGCCTTAAAAAGGATGAGAGTTCTAACATATGCTACAAAATGAATGAACCTTGAGTAGTTTATGTTAAGTGAAATAAGCCAGTCACAAAAAGCCAAATACTGTATGATTCCACTTAAATGAGGTACTTGGAGTAGTCAAAACCATAGAGACAGGAAGTAGAATGGTGGTTTCAGGGGCTAGGGGGAGTGGAGAATGGAGAGTTATTATTTAATGGATATAGAGTTTCAGTTTGGTGAGATAAGAAGAGTTATGGAGATCGATGGCGGTGATGGTTGTACCACAATATTAATGTCCCTAGTACCACTGAACTGTATACTTAAAAATGTTTAAGATAGTAAATTTTATGTTTTGTGTATTTTACCACAATAAAAAAATTGGAAAGAAATTTTAAATCCCTGAAGGTCACTGATTTTCTAATTTAGCAATTTTCACCATGTTTAGATTGCGTTTTCCTTCTCTACCTCAGCATTCCCACTAAAGCCTTTATAAGAAAAAGCAAAATTTCTTATGGGAAGGAATGATTCTCTGGTGTGGCTTCTCCTGAAAGGAACAGTGAGATTTTTGTTATTTCAGCATACGACTGAGAAAGAAATAAGTAAGCAATAAATGCCAGACACCTTGTTATTGATTTCACATCCTGGTAATCCCAGGTATGATGTAGCTTTCACTCCAAACATACCAGTACCCACAGTCAGAAGCTGCCTCTCCTTTCCCCTGCTTTATCTTTATTGTTGTCATTTGTAACAAGGGAGTATATGTCTTACTGGCTGATGTTTGGAGTTCCTTCTTCAGTGACCCCTTGTGCTGAGCATATCCACCATTTATTTGTGCCATCCTTCATCTCTCACATCTCCTGCTTTTCAAAAGCCTCTGAAGTCGACAAGACATAAGAAACAACACCCACTCCACATTTAATTATATTTCTTTAAAAACATCTCCCTGGGGCCAGCCTTGTGGCGCAGCGGTTAAGTGCGCGCGCTCTGCTTCGGTAGCCTGGGGTTTGCGTGCCTGGATACCCAGCGCGCACCAACGCACCGCTTGTCAAGTCATGCTCTGGCGGCGTCCCATATAAAGTAGAGGAAGATGGGCATGGATGTTAGCCCAGGGCCAATCTTCCTCAGAAAAAAGGAGGAGGATTGGCATTGGATGTTAGCTCAGGGCTAGTCTTTCTCACACACACACACACAAAAACAAAAAAACCTCTCCTTTTCCATACTTATATCTAACGGTGTGTTTTGTGACATATGACACAGTGGCATGTAATATATGGCTTATAAGTGAATGAATATACATCTGTGGGGGGTGAATGCTCAATATTTTTTGAATAATTGAAGTTTGGAGACCAGGATCTATACATTAAAGCTTTCTTCCAGGGCAGGAGCCATGCTTTCTCCACATGAATCTTCATTTCCCAAATGTCCATACCTTGTGCCTATACTCCCTTGGCACAAGGGAGGTATTGTTGAAACAATACCAATTGGTAAAATCTGGTGAGAGATAAGAGTTAGACATCCAGAAGCGTAAGCCAAGAAGAGAGGCTCTCTATGGTATATAGAAAACTGCAGAACTACTCCATGGGGTACAAAAATGATCAGCACATGAAAACCAGTGGGTGGAAATGGTCACCTACAACCACTCTGTCCTTTCTACCAACTCACCTGGGGCCTTCTTCATTAGGATTCACATTGTCCTTTTGATTACTCAACCTAGACTGGGCCCCAGGATACAACAACATTCACCTAAAAAAGTTTTAATAACTGAGGCAAAGAATAACATTTGGGGAACACTGATATAATTAATTATAAAATTTATGATTCAGTAGCTGATCCATGAATAAATGGATAATTGGGAGTATCTGACTGGAGACAAGAATGAGCATTAATGGAAGAATGACTAAATTACAGCTCCTGGCATCAGTAGATCTCAACATACATAGTCTTCATTGGAAGGTAATTTTCTCTGTGACATTCCTGGTATCCCTAAGAAGGGAAGTATAATTTTAAGTACATACTGACAAAATTTGAATACAAGGTACTTAGATGAAAGTTATAGTCTGTTTTAGAAATGAAATTGAATGGTGCTATAGTTATTGCTTTGGCAAAGGATTTTTTGGCTGATGCAGTGCATGAGTACTGATTTTATGATTTATCTTATCATATGGCACCTAATGTATCAGATGAGTTTTGAAAACAGTGTTTGGGTTTGATAGATGTTAGGCATCGTCTTAGTCTGTTTGGGCTGCTATAACAAAATACCATAGACTGGGTGGCTTATAAACAACAGACATTTATTTCTCACTATTCTGGAGGCTGGTAGTCCAAGACGAAGGTTCCAGCAGGTTTGGTGTCTGGTAAGTGCCCTCTTCCTGGTTCATAGATGGCCATCTTTTCATTGTAATTTCACATGGTAGAAGAGGTGAGAGATCTCTCTGAGGTCTCTATTTTTATAAGGGCACTAATCCCATTCATGAGGGCTCTGCACATAAACATTCAGTCTATAGCAGGGATGCATATACAACTTCCAGTTTGCCTTATGAACAATAGAGGAGAGTACGATGGAAGCATTACTTCCAGATGCTTTTCAGAGTGAATTCAAAGACAGGTCCACCAAAATGAATGACTTTCCTTTGTTCACACAGGTTTCCTCCTGGAGTGCCAAGGTCTTTTCCATTCAACCCTTCAGTCATGTACAAAAAGACTGTGTTTGTAGAGTTCACAGATCACCTTTTCAACGTTGCCAAGCCCAGGCCACCATGGATGGGTAATGTAAACAATATTGACTATTTATTATGAAACTGGGTTTCTTATTTCCTAGCAAAGATTCCCCAGTCTTGGAGCTACAGTTGAAGAGGGCAGCTGCCAAAGAGAACGTTTACTTGGTCAGGCTTCCCTTACTACCACCTCTCAGGGAAATACACTAGCTGAATGTTCTCAGTTGTTTTGCTTGTTCTCTAGATGTTAGAGTGCCCTGGGTCTTGGACCTGGGTTCATTTTATTTTTCTATAACTTCAGCCCCTATCTGATCTTATACAGTCTCGTAGCTGTAAAATATCATCTATATGCCAATAACTCCCAAGTTTATATCTTCCGTTCAGACTGCTTGCTTGGTATCTCCACTTAGATGTCAAAAAAGCATGTAACAAGATGTTAAGATGAGACATTTTCTACCTTAGAATTATTGCTAAGAATTATAGGTGACGAGTATCCCCAAATTCTAAAGAGAGATATCAGCCCACCTATTCAGGGCTTATTCGGGTAGTGGTCCAAAATTGGTTCTGCAACCATTAGCCCATCATGTACCTCCAGCCTATGTAAAGGAAGGCTAGGAACTTTATGAAAGAGTTTAGATTTGAGGATTTCTTTGGAAAGCATTTTTGGTGTTTTGTAAGTCCCCTACCCTGTGGTGGGAGGGAGGCCTCCCCCTCATGTCAAGTTGTAGTGAGGGAGGCTTCAGGAGAACCACTTAGAAGACTTGACATAGGACCTCTGGAGCTTGGGAAACACTGACTAGTGCCTGGTTTTCTATCTGGAAAACATTTCAAGGCCAGAGTCTTGGGGGAACTTCCCCTGATGGCGTAATAAGGAGAGTGGGCTACACTGAAAGCTAACTGCACTGCTACTGTTCATGTGTGAGGCCAGGAAGGTCACAGGACAAGACTTATCTCAAGAAGACCCTGCCTGAGAGGTCTTCCTGCCGGAGCTAGGTGACCCCAACAGAAACGGTCTATGTGATTGTACTGCCAGAAGCAGAAACTGAGAGGAGAGATACAAGTGACAGCTTCAAAGGGCATATCCCACACCAGAGAGAGGTGGAGTGGGTTACCCCATATTGGGAGGGAGAGAGTCTCCAAAGAAGTCATATAAGAAAGAAAGAGCCAGAATTTTGGCATGTGCCACAACCAGAGGTTACCAAAACTACATTACCATTGCTCCTTCCAAGAAAGATCTTGTCATCATACCTCTTGTTCAACCCGTCCTTTTCCTGCTAGCTCCAACCTTAGAGGGTCCAGAGGCACTAAGGTGAGTTGGGGAGGAGGATTAGGAGAGGAAAGTGAGAAAGCAGTGAAGCTGCCAACTAAACAACCTTTTCCCATTACAGGTTTCTGAGCCTGTCAGAACTTAGCTGGAGGAGGGAGGGACCCTTAAATGGCAGGGGACATCAATTTGGTATTAGACTGGACTGGGCTTATTACTACCTAAAAATGATACTGTTAATATGTGAAGGTTTCTGGAAAAAACTGGGGATTGTTTAAAGTGCAAGAAAGGGAATTTCCACAACACAATTAAAAACTATGAAAAATAAAGCTGTTTTATGTTTTCATCCCATTGAATCCAGTTCATTCAATAAACCACTTGTAGGCATCTTATACTTAGTATGTCTATAAGTTAGAAGTCTTGATTTTCCTTTTAATTTTCTGTGTCATGGCTTGACTACCATCCACTTGCACAAACCAAAATCGTAGGAGTCATCCCTGGCTTCTCTCTCTTTTCTTTCTTTTTCTATTTCCTACATCCAATCCATCAGCAAGTCTTGTTGACTCTTACTCCTAAACAAGTTCCAAGTCTGCTTATTTCTTGTAAATTCCGAATTCTTCCAAACTCCTGTGGCCTACAAAGTCCTACATGTTATGTTCCCTGCCTACCTCTGTAGCCTTATTTTCTATTACTCCCCTGCTCATTCACTTTGTGTCAACCACATGTTACTCAACTATGCCAAGCTTATTCTTGTATCAGGACTTTTGCATTCGTTTTATCTGCTTTGAATGCTCTTCCACTAGATCTTTGCAAATCTTGCTTATTTTTCATTAGTTGGATCTCTGCTTAAATGCCATCTCCTCAGAGAAGCCCTTCCTGACTATTATATTTAAAGTATCCTCAAAAAAAAAAAATCCTCTACCTCCTGCTTCATCATTTTTCTAGCACACCACTATCTTTTATAGCATCTATAACAATCTGAAATTTTCTTGTTTATTTCTTTACATGCTTAATGTCCCTAGAATGTGATATCCATGATCTGTCTTGTTCATTACTCCATCTCCAGCACCAAGAACAGTTCCTAGAATACAGTAGGAACTCAACTATTCATTAGAATGAATGAATGCATTGAATGAATTGCCAGAAATCTGTCCTTAGAACAATGAGACTGAGCTGGTGATAACAGTTTATGCATTCATTCATTCAACTACTACTTTTTATTAATAATCACAGAGGCGTGCTTTTCCACTGTGACTTTGACCATCACTTTTGTAATAACAGGTTTTCTGGAGTGCCACCCTCCAAGTGACCTTTGGGGGACATCTCATTCTTGCAGGTCTACTGGGTCCTACCATCCGGGCTGAGGTTTATGACACAGTGGTCATTACACTTAAGAACATGGCTTCTCATCCTGTCAGTCTTCATGCTGTTGGCGTATCCTACTGGAAAGCTTCTGAAGGTGAGATGCCCTCCTATTGTCCTGTCATCCTAGGGATAGAAGAGTATTGAGTACAACGTCATCCAGCTAATGAATGGTAGAGTCAGCTTTCAAACCTAGGCCCATTTCATGAGGTCAAGAACATTGTCACTTTAGTATAAGCCCCAAAGTTCTCCCTTGGGGAGCTAGGCCTCAGATCCTAAAAATCCTACTTTATCTGCCTTCCTGTGCCCGGAAAGCTTCCTAGGGAGGGTCAAGACTCATGGTATGGAGGTGAAACAGATTTCTCCTTCTTTTTCCTTAGATTCTGACTTTCCAGATATTTCCTCTCCCTCCCTTACCCCAATTTCTAAATATGGATGCCACCATGTGATGAGAGCCAACTAGCAGAAGCAGAAGCTGACTTCATTAAAACAACCAACCTGTTTGGCCACAGTCCCCACTTCAACTAGCTTCTCCTAAACCTTCACAATGCAGGAAGGGAGTGAAGGGGGTACCACAATTGACTATGATATTCTCCAGATAGTCTATGGCATTTATATATCAAGAAGATTCAAGCAATAATTAATAAATTATTGCAGCAATGCCCTATGTTGTAAAGCCTAACTGTGCTTACATGTTGACTAATTTTTCATTCTGAAATTGAAAGGCCTTAATTCTTAGGGTTGTACTCATGAGGCCATGAGTTTGGGGAAGACGATAGGAGGGGCCAGGCAGTATAGAGGAAAAGTCAGGCCACGTTCTGACTGGAGCCTGGCAGGCTATTTCTTTGAGGCTTATCCACTTGGGAGCTTCCAGAAGTAATCTAGGGGCATTTTAGAGTGGTCAGGCTTCCCACAACTCTGCAGCTGTGGGTTGAGCGTAGAGATGACTCTTTTGCACTCTAAGCCTGGTGAGGTCTGGGAAAATGGACTGTCTAATCTCTCACATGTGCGTCCACAGCATTTCTGCCCAGGAACAACACAGTGAGGCAATGGCCTAATGCGCATGTGATTTATGGTTCTATCATGAGCCTGTATATTTATGATCCACAAGCTCCTGGCCTTCTTAGACTAGCCTGGGGGCCCAAAGATGTCAGTTAAATCTGTGATGATGTTGAGTATCATTTCATATGTGTGTTGACCTTTCTGATATCCTTTTGTAAAGTATCTGATCAGATAAAGTATTTGTAAAGTAAGTGTTTAAGTGTTTTTCCTGTTGAAAAAAATGAGTTGTTTATCTTTTTCTTATTGATTTGTAGAGGTACTTTATATATTCTGAATACAAATCCTTGGACAGATATGAATATTTGCATATCTCCTTCCAGTCTGTGGCTTGAATGTTTACTCTCCTAATAATTTTCTTGGTAAGCAGAAGTTCTTAAAGTTAATGAAGCACAAAAAAATTATCACATTTTTTTCTTTTATGTTTTATGTCCTGCTTTCCTTTAAAAGTTTTATTATTTTGTGTTTCACATTTAGATCTGTGATCCATCTCAGATTGATTTTTGTATACAGTTTTCCCATAGTATTTTTTTTGTGTGTGTGAGGAAGATTAGCCCTGAGCTAACATCCCTTGCCAATCCTCCTCTTTCTGCTGAGGAAGATTGGCCCTGAGCTAACATCCATGCCAATCTTCCTCTATTTTGTATATTTGACACTGCCACAGCATGGCTTGATAAGCAGTGTGTAGGTCCATGCCTGGGATCCGAACCTGTGAACCCCTGGCTGCCAAAACAGAGTGTGCGAATTTAACCACCATGCCACCGGGCCAGCCTCCCCATAGCATTTTTATTTATTTATTTATTTTATTTTTATTTTTTCCCCCCAAAGCCCCAGTAGATAGTTGTATGTCGTAGCTGCACATCCTTCTAGTTGCTGTATGTGGGACACAGCCTCAGCATGGCCGGAGAAGCGGTGCGTCAGTGTGTGCCCGGGATCCAAACCCGGGCCACCAGCAGCAGAGCGCGCACACTTAACCGCTAAGCCACAGGGTCGGCCCACCATAGCATTTTTAAACAGCTTTATTGAGGTATAAGTTACATAACACAAAATTCACCCATTTAAATTAGTTTGATAACTTTTAATAAATTTAGACCGTTGTGCAGCCATCACCGCAATCCAGCTTTAGAACACTTCTGTCACTTCACAAAGTTCTCTCTTTGCAGTTCAAGCCCCATTCCCACTCCCAGTCCCAGACAACCATTGATCTGCTTTATATCTCAATAGCTTTGCAAGCCTGTCATTTTTATATCCCAAGCCAACTCTAGTAAATTGTACTACTATTCAGCAAATAGTCATCCCCTACCCTAGAGTGGGAGGAGTACATTTCCCCACCATATTGATGTTGGGCTTGGCCATATGACTTGCATTGGCTAATAGAATCTAAAAGTGCATGATGTAAGCCAAGATAGCTAGTTCACATGAAGTGTCTGTCAAAGGAGCCAGAAGAGGAGTGAAAAGCAGGTCCAAGGAAATTTCAAGTTTGATCTTGAGCTGAAAATGGAAGCCCAGTGCTAGAGAAAAGTTTTTAATTTCTTTTCTGGACAAGTTGGGTTATAAGACACCAACCTAAGCTGTAAATAGGTCCACAAAATGGACCTATTTACACAAAATGAGGCTCTGAATAGGAATAAGATAAGGTTGGCCAGGAGCTGCAAAACTTGGAGGGAGATCTGGAAGACAGCATGGGGGCATACAAATCAAGAAGCGTCAACCCAAAGCCGCTGAGCAGAGATCAGGCAAAGGAAAAACAGCTGAAAGCACCAGAGAGCGGGGTGGAGTAGCCCCTAAGGCACAGCATTTGGCTTGTGGTGGAGCAGTTGTGCCCAGGGACCACTGAGCTGTGGCCCTCCAGGACTGAGACCAACAAAAATCCTTGGCATGGGGACTCAGAATGTGTGTCTTAACTCCTACTGGACACACAGGAATTTGGAATGTCTGAGCAGGCTAGCTTATGGGGGCCTAGACTAGGCCTAGGGAAAGTTTGACCCACCAGCTGCAGGGGGTTGAACAGAGGGTTATCCAGGACAGACAGTACAGCAGAGGCTGGGCAGAGGGAGGATGGAGATACAAGGCCATAGACAGACACCAGGGGACACAAGAGGATTAGGGCTGGGGGTGGAAGATGGAGACCAAAGAGATTCCCACAGTCCCTGGGCCTAGCCATGGGTCTTTGTATAAACTACCCAGCAGTCTTGGTTACTGAGAGCACATTGCTTGCTGAGACAGCTGTCAACTTCAAAACACTTGGTTGCTCATTTTCACAATACCCTGGTGTGGTGGTTTTAAAACATGGTAGCAGGTGCCTTGACACTCCCATTGAAAACTGGAATCTATATTTCTCCCCCTTTAATCTGCATGGGCTTGTAACTGCTTTGACCAATAGTGTATATCAGAAGTGATGCTATGTGACTTTTGAGGCTGAGTCATAAAAGAACATGCTGCTTCTGTCTTGTTTGTGGGAATATTCACTCTTAGAGTCCTGAGATGCCATATAGGAAGGCTGATGCCCTGAGGTCCTCATGCTGTGAGGAAACGGAAGCCAAATAGAAAGGCCGTGTGTAGGTGCGCTGGTCGATGGTCCCAGCTGAATCCAGTTTTTAAGTCATCCCAGCCCAGCTACTAGATCTATAAGTGAAAATGCCTGCAGATGATTCTAGCCCTCAGCTGTTTGAGTCATGCCAGCTGATGCCCCAGACATCATGGGGAAGTTCGTTATGCAGTCTTCTCAACAGGAAGCCCTGTGATTTTCTCCTCAACTTTTCTCGTTTCATTGTGTATCTCAAGCCCAAAAGCACTTAAGAAAGCTTTGACTGGCTCAAAGGATCACTACAAAATAAGTTCCTTTCAGAAGTGGATTTCTGTTGATTCAGTACACTCCTTAGGATATCTTCCATGCAAAAGTCATGTTGCAAGCAGACAGGCAGACTCCATGAACTCTCAAATGTCCCAACAGTGTTGCTCCTCATATAATAGAAGATGTAAATCACACAAAACACATTCTGCTTAGAATATTTGCAGGTGGCTGATGTATAAGCTGAGATAAGACTTTGATAGAGGCAGAGATCTTCCAAAGGAAATACACTTTCGTAGATATGTAAACATTAAGGACTGTGCACAGTGCTTTTTCCCAGGCACTGCCTACTTCATTTGGTCTTCACAAATCACTGTTTTCCTCATTGAAGGATAGACCCTGTTATTAGCAACTTAAGCTAAGTTCATAATACCTCACCTCAAATGGTCCCTCAGGACTGGCAGCCGTCCTACTGCTACATTTCTCCCAATCCATTCACTGTCCCTCTCCCCAAGACAGTTATAGTGTTTCACACATTCTTGGCCTCTCATCAAACCTCCCACACTCCTCTCCCAACCTTAGTATTAGGAAAAGAGGTATTCTTTTCCTAAAGAAATATTTCAAAGACAGGTGCAGGAAAAAATGTAGCAAACAAACATGTACCCATCACACGACTTTGCCAAATCTTAACATTTTGCCATCTTTGCTTAATTTATTTTAAGAAATTAAGCATTATAGATACAGTTGAAGCCCCTTCTGTAGTCCTCCATGATCCCCTCCCTCCCTATCCAAATGTATCCACTATCCAGAATTTGATACCAACCCACCATCACACAGCCACCTGAACCACACACTCCATCCTCAGATGCCAATCAGGTTTTTTTAAATGTTTATCGGGCTCTGCTAAGCATAGGTGTTGGTCTGCTGTTGCTTCTGGATGAAACCAGCTGTCCCTGGTGCCTGCTGGAGGGGGTGCCCCTATACCACAGAGAGGCTGACTTTACAGTGGGGACCACCCATGTGCACTTTGGAGGTGGCCTTTGGCTGCTGAGAGTTTGCAGTAAAAATATGGACAGAGCAGGGGCATTGCAGAGGTCTCTTGCACCGCTCTGTTGGAGAAGTCCCTCTCTCAGATGTATAGATGTTGTGGGATAAGATGGGGGTATAAATGAAGAGCACCCTGAATGCCTTGGGCTGCTCTGAGTCCCAGAGACCATTATGAATCTGGGAAGCTATGTGAGTTGCTA